AAGATCCATCCAAGACTTGTAAGCTCATTTGTTTGTCTATGTCAATTTGGTCATTGCTGTCAAGAAACATACAAACTTTAGTAGACGTAATTAGTATGGAAATACTTTGTTTAGTTATGTACTACTGCAGTTCATTAGAATTTTCATTATAATGAAGCAAAAAGTCGTTATTTATTGTTTTGTTGATTGTGCTGTAAACCTAATTATATTGATTTGAGCCTTGTTGCTCTTGTGTGAAATTTTGAGGAAATAAACTATTTTGTTTTTTTTTTAATCTTTTGTAATTGCTTGGTAGGTTTTATGCTTACATGATGAAGCATCAATGTGAAAGCTATATATGGCGTATCAAAGCTAAAAAAAATATAAAAATACGAGATTGAGTGTAGATAAACATGATATATGTTATTTACATTCAAATGAAAATTTTTACCAATTTTGAACTTGAATAACCTCATGTTTCCTTAGTTAAATTGACTTTTAAACTGTGTCTGTTATTTAAATGCGGAGTCAGTAAATAAATCGGTTATTGTTTTAAATTTCTAATATCTTTGAAACGTGATTTAAATTGTGTAATTTACAGGAAAGTCATATCTTTTTATAAAGTAATAATTAAAACAAATAAGAAGATCGTTTTAATTTTAGTTAGTCTGAACTTATTAAAAATACGGCATATATGACTTTAGATCTTCAATAACGAAAAAGTATTCTTGTTTAATACACTGTAATAAACAGATCTCAGATGTTGCCACCAAGACATACACAATAATTTTATACATGTACAAGGCTGTTCAGTATTAAATGAAAACTGCCATTAGGTAGTCCAATCCTCAGGTTCTGAAAACCAGCTTTTAAGTAATTGAAAATGCTCATAAAAATGTCTCCGATTTCACATAGAAACGTGAATTTACCCATGGTATATTATATAGGGAAAATTATCAAATCTCAAATATATTTTCAGGAAATGCAAATAAAAACACCAGCTATGCATTTTCTAATTGAAAATTGATCAACAAATATAATTTAGGATAGAAAAATATAGGTATCCAGGCATTTGGAGAAAATTGCATCTTTTTTATGCTTTTACAGTATTTTAGTTGTTCTCTTTACTTCAATTGTTATATAATATATAGTGTAAGAAGCTTGTGCTAGACATCACACATCACGTCTAATTTCATATCATGCTAATAAGCATTGGCATCTAATGCTAGACTAAAAGAAATTCAATTTCTCTAAAATGAATTCATTTTTTTTTTCTTTTATGGGGTACAAATGTCAACTTTTTATAAGACCGTTTCTAAGGCTTCAAAGAACCTTGAATCATATTGAGATGCATAAAATGAAAATTGTTGCATGAAAAGATCTCAATTTCAAGCTTCATTTTAGACTTTTTAGCTCACCTGAGCTGAAAGCTCAAGTGAGCTTTTCTGATCACCCATTGTCCGTCGTCCGTCCGTCTGTAAACTTTTCACATTTTCAACGTCTTCTCAAGAACCACTGGCCCAATTTTAACCAAACTTGGTACAAAGTATCCTTGGGCGAAGGGGAGTTTTAATTGTTAAAATAAAGGGCCATGTCCCCTTACAAGGGGTGGGGTCATTAAAACATCTTCTTCTCAAGAACCACTGGACCAAAAAAGCTGAAACTTATGTGGAAGCATCCTGGGGTAGTAAAGATTCCAAATTGTTCAAATCATGACCCCCGGGGGTAGGGCGGGGCCACAATAGGGAATCCAAGTTTAACATTGAAATATATAAGAAAAATCTTAAAAAATCTTCTTCTCAAGAACCACTGGGCCAGAAAAGCTGAAACTTATATGGAAGCATCCTGGGGTAGTAAAGATTCTAAATTGTTCAAATCATGACCCCCCGGGGGTAGGGTGGGGCCACAATAGGGAATCCAAGTTTTACATTGAAATATATAAGAAAAACCTTAAAAAATCTTCTTCTCAAGAACCACAGGGCCAGAAAAGATGAAACTTATGTGGAAGCATCCTCCAGTAGTGTAGATTCTAAATTGTTCAAATCAGGACCCCAGGGTGTAGGACGGGGCCACAATAGGGAATCCAAGTTTTACATTGAAATATATAAGAAAATTTTTTAAAAATCTTCTTCTCAAGAACCACTGGGCCAGAAAAGCTGAAACTTATGTGGAAGCATCCTGGGGTAGTGTAGATTGTAATTTTTTCAAATCATGACCCCGGGGGAAGGGCGGGGCCACAATAGGTATTACAAGGGGGGGAAATCTGGTAAAGAACTGCATGGCAAGTTACTCAGGTGAGCGATGTGGTCCATGGTCCTCTTGTTTAATAAAATAATAAAGGACAAGGTATGGTAATGGCCGAATCTGGCCCCTTATTTGATGTTAAAATCAGAACACAGTTAAAGTTGTGATAGTTTGTAGTTAAAAACTTAAAATGATGCTTGTTTTAAAACCAGCACTAATTTTGATTCAAAGCTTACACGGAGGCCACAAGAGGGTGCAGAAATGATACATTTTCCCGAATTTCCTCAATTCTGGCAGGATTTTGTCAAATTCGAGATACTTTTCACTTCGGGAAATATAGAGCACAAGCTTGCCTACCTGAGATTTTTAAACATAAGATGCATCTGATGCTTGCGTACGAAATATATCAATTTGGTAGATAGGCAAGCTTGTGCTCTATGTTTTCTGATCCAAAATGTGCTGTAAGATCGATGAAAAATTGCATAAAAGTGAGAAAATTCGGAAATTGATGTATTTTCTGACCTTCTTGTGACCTCTGTGTATCCCATAACTTAGAAACAATACTCATTTTGTGGCAGGGGTGACAACAGGTTTTTAATTGATAAACTGGTGTATCATTCTAAAAGACACCCCAAACTAGGGGCCAAAAAGGGGTCTTAGCCTATCTTGTCCTTTAAGAGTTATCCTTCCTGGCTGAGGATCGGATATCCTTAAATGCTTTAAGAAATGGCCAGAATGGTAATAAAGATTCTGAATATTTCAAATGCAGGATTTATCTTCAAATAAAGTTAGAGTATAAGTCTGTGAGCTTTATTTCAATTATTAAGATTTTTCTTCCTGATAATGTTGCATACATATTCATAGTGACAACATATACACTAGACAAAATTGCTAACGCACCACCTAAATAAATTAACATTTTTCTTTTCAAAACTTGTTTATGATGTTTTTGATATATAATTATGTTACTTTAATAAAAAATGAGACATTTAAATGTTTTAACTGATAAATAACAACAATGTTAACTGAAGCGTAACCACTTCATAGAAAAAATTACAATTATATCCATACTTTTTTGGTGGAATAAATTTCAATATTTTTCTTTGTGGTTGTGTTCTTTATGTTTGTACTAATTAAAAACTCAGGAAAAAAGTTACACCGTATGCGGCATTTGACTGTAGAAGAGCGCGCTAAGGCAGCCAGTATGGTGTCTACAGGGGGTTCCTTTGAAGAAATTCGTGAAAAACTAAAACAATTAAAAGATTATGCATTTCTTTGATGAAAAATTGTTGAAAATGAATAAACAATCATAAAAATGTTTACAATAGATAGCAACGGCATTAAGTAAGCACCACACAATAACTTCAAGATTGTTCCACAAAATTGGGGCAACCGGAAGTTGGGTGGATTTGGTAGAGACACCAAGGCACTGGATGACTACTAAGTGATATGGTAGTCAATCAGGGTATATCATTTGATTTTTAAGTTGGAGACTGCTTCTGTCACAACCTCACGGACCACCATCGGTAATCACCAACTTCATATCTTGGCAAAAACTGTGCGCAGTGCACGTCGGGAAATTGGTTTTCGGACAAGAAGGTCCTTTAAGGGTCTTGACATGACACCAAAACATTTGTCAATCCAACTGTTTTGGAAAACTTGGCATATTTTATATATTAATACCAATCAGGAAAATGATCAATTCACAAATAAGAATAATAAGTGGTGCGTTAGCAATTTTGTCTAGTGTAAATACATACTGAAAAGAAATACATATACCGAGATGTAAAGAATTGAGGCGTACAAGGCAAGGACAATCCCCCACTCTGAAAAAAGACATTTCTGAGTTCTGAAAGTTTGTTTTTTCAAAAATTTGTACTGTCAGTGTCATCTTTAACACATTTGCTTCCTGTATTTTATTAAATAAATTATTGATACTTTATTTTTTGCTCATTTTTTTTAAGTAAGTGAAAAGAAAAAAAAACAAGGAAAAAAAGCTTCATGCATAATTTGAATGCCCTCCAAAGATCACAATTAGCGGCAAGACTAAACGTGTTAACCACTATGCTACGAAGTCTACATCTTTAGTGTAATTTAAATAGAGTTTGTTGAAGCGTATAATTTTTTCAGGAACGTTCAATTTTCATATAGAATGGGTTCAGACTCCATTTTTGAAACATGAAATAGATCTTACATATACTTTTCCAGCTATAAATGTTAATGAAGAATGGAGACTTGACCATTCATGTTCAAAAATCATTTTTTATGGCTCTATTATACCCATTTTCCATTAAATATGCTAAACTGTCAACTTTAAAAACAAATTATCAATTAATAAGTCGTTAAATAAAATAAATGAACCAAATGTGTTTATGATGACATTACTGACAACATAATTTCAGAAAAATACAACTTTTTTGTGAATTTTGAAAATTGAGAAATATATTGTCTCAGAGTGGGGGATTGGCCTCACCTTATATGCCCTTTTTCTTTAGCAATTTTTCCTAAAAAGTCGGTATTTAATTTTAGGGAGAATTAAGTTTAGTGATTTTGTATGTACATGGAAAGATAACTAGATAGGGGTAACCTCCGATGTGGAATGAATTGTTAGTGATATTAAATTTTAGCGACCTCGACAACCTTGCTAAAAATGACAAAATTGAATCCTCGCTTAAATTTCTGCTTCTACAGTATGCTGCATATATGTCGTATTGTATATTACAGAGGCAGATTTTACATTTTCAATTATTTTCAAATTTTGATTAAAAACAAAAACAAAACATAAAACTTGACTTGTGTATAGTGAAATATTATATGCAGCAAGTATCAACAACAGCATAAATACAATGGTGAAATTGTAATTCATAGTATATTGTACAAGTAATATGATAATCATCATAAATTGTGTTTATACATTACCACACATAACGTTATATTACACTGTACAAAAACACATGAGAAAAATGTGTTAATTTGTTTAAACTGAATTTTTCTTCCTCTGATACATTCCAAGAACTGATATTTTTTATCAACATACAATTATATAAACAGATCAAGGTCTAATATATCATGCATGATGATTCAATAGTTTTTCTATAAAGGGTAATATTTTTTTCACATTTTAGGGTAATCTTCCAGTTCATGCGGTGCGGGTTCATTCCAATATTCACCTATAGGTTTACTGAAAGCATCATTTTTCCTGAAAGGCGTGTCTCCAGTTTTGAGTTGTGAGACTCCCTACAATTTATCAACAAAATTAGATATGCAATCTCATATTTTAAAGAGAAGATACATGTAATACTGGCATTAATATGTAACTTCGTTAACAATAAGTTAGTTTATACTCACATGAATAACATCTTTGTGTTCTGACCAGAATGTGACAGGCTGATCTTTTCTGTAATCATGTGTCTGGTGGGGAAAAAAATCCTCTGTATATACTTAACATTAACAAGTACAGGTTCCCATCATACTCGCAAATCACAGACTCTTAAAAGTGCATTTACAGAGCTAAATAATTAACCCTTGCACCTAGGTCAGGTAAAAGGACCCTGTCCCAATTGAAAATTTGCTCTATTTTCCCCAAAATTTAGGTAAAAATTCCCAAATTACAAGCAGATTGAATTTTTCAGACTGAGTGCTTTTTATATTAGAAAAAAAAATTGAGATTTTGATGATTCATAAGGATGTGAATAGAGGATAAGCCTTCAATCTAACTTTTTATTTAACAGTTTAACTAAATATGAGACAGCGCCTAGCAGCATATTTCTAAATTTCGATTTTAAAATTCCAGATTGAAAGGGTACAGGACCCTTTACCAAAAAGGGTCAAATAAACCCTGCTATAATTGTTTCAGTCCCAGTAAAGTAAGCTGGTTTAGTGGAGTGGAATGGTCACATCACTCAGACAAGTCCAAAATTGGGGGATACAAAATTATAAGATGTATCCAAATGGAGTTAAATACTGTATATGCACCAATTAATACTTGACTATTTTACCAAATACTTCAGTACATATAATTAATGCTTACAAAAGCATTAAATGCAGGTTGTTATACAAAGTGCGCAGTGTATGTATCTAATAAAAATTAATTTTGATAGTACAAGTAGTACCTTTGTGGGAACTGGCTTTTTGCTGACAAAATCTGGTTTATTGAAGTCTTTCATTGTTATTGATCTGAAATCTGTAGGTTCTGGCTGGGGTGGAATGAGTTCATCTGCAAATACTTCTCTCCTGATGACAAAGAAAGATAAATTCATCATGGTGTTAACAAAAAAAAAATCTAGTGCAACATGGTATATTTTATCATTATCACAATATTTTCACTGTAGTCATGGAAATGTTGCATAATGACTTTTTGATAAAATAATATATTACAATGAGATTAACATACCCAACTTTTTCTAGAAGCATAAGTTTCTGTAATTCTTCCTTTTTACCTAAAAATAATCAATTTAAACAATTTACTTGACAACATATAACCAGTTATAAAGATGAATTTGTCTAGGAAATGATAATTCTTAATGAATTGAATGTAAATGGAATAGGGCTGGGATGATACAATCGAAATATTGATATTAAATATCGATTCTATGTGTAAAGACAATGTGCATATTGATATGGAAAACAAAATTTCATACTTATTTTTTCTTTGTTTTACTTAAAGTTTGGGTTTAGAATATAAAGTAAATGTTAAAATTATAAATATTCATACAAAATACATAATAAACACCACATTTGATAAATTTGTTTTACAATGGATATACAGCTATGAATAAATTATTCTTATTTGTTTAGAAATATTATTTCAATACAAATGAAGATTTTATAACCAATTAAAAATAATGAAATAATGTGATACATTTTGCATCATGGTAAAAATATCATGATATATTGTATCAATAAAGAAGAAAGCGTATCCTCCCAGCCCTAATTAATGGAACCAAATAAGAATTGCATGGGATACAAAAGTTATAATAATTCATGCTACATATTTTACTGTTATATTTACCCCCACTTACTAGCACCTGCCATATGGCACTCAAAAAATTGGAAAAGACAGGCATTTTTAAAAGTTGAGGTTTGGAATCTCAAAAAAAAAACCCCAAAACATCCATATCTTGAATAGCACGGATAATAAGTATTAGTTGTGTGAGTTGGTAGTCCCAAACACAATATTTTCTTTATATAACCTTAGTCTTTGAAATCCACAAACATTTTAAATGTCATTAAGATCAGCAGAGCAACTCAGATTACCTAGCACATATAATATGGGAAATGAGTACATGTACTTGGATAAATAAAATGATACAAATAGATCGAGCTACCTAATCATGTTCATCAGGTCCAGTCCAAACACTATTTCTACCTATGTAGCTATTAATAGCTGCCTAGGTATTTAAACCTATGGAAGTAGCTACTTCTACCTACTTTTACCTGTCTTTGAAATAATTACTGCACATCTTTAAAACACTCAAACTTGTTGTTTATCATCTTGTGCATTTGCAAAGAAAAATTCAGGATGTTAATTTGAAAACTTTTTTGTTTGGAGAAGAAAAGCATAAAAAATCATCCAAAACATTTTATCTGAGAATGCTTGAAGATTAGTTTTAAAATTGATACAGATTTGTTAGTCATTTAATTAAGACTTAGTTCTGATCCTTTAAGGTACCAGGAAATGAAACTGGATAAAGTTTTTATGCAAAATCGATAAGTTAGAAAGTAATCATTTTTTGCCAAAATTTTTGTTGTATTCATCATCAGTGTGACTGTATTATTAAATTTGGTGCTCACTATATTGTGCCATTCCTGATTTGACCACAAAATGTAAGTAGAGCAAAAAGTAGGTAAAAATTATAAGCTACCTGGAGTAGGTTTAAATACCTATAGGTACCTATTAGTAGCTACGTAATGTAGAAACAGTCTTTGGACTGGACATGTTCATTATATCATTGCATGTGTACTTGTCTGTGCCTTAATTTTTGTAAATTTCACCTTTCTGAGATAGTTTTAAAAATTTTATTACCTACAAGCCTCACACCACAAGGCTCTGGTTTTTTGTAGGACTGCCGAACTGTAGTAACATTATCAACCTTGGAATCAAATTCTGTTGTAAGAATTCCTGCATGTCCATCTCGAAAGATCTGTGCACTGCTTGTGATTTTTTCATCTTTATCTATTTTATCAAGGTCTGCAACTTGTCGCTGTAATAAAATGAGACTGTTAACTAGCAATGATGAAAAACTAGATTATATATATATATATATATATATATATATATATATATATATATATATATATATATATATATATATATATATATACATGCTATAGATAGTTTTCATATGACGTATTTTCTCTCCGAGTTATTTCCCTTGGCCGCCATCTTCAATTATCTTGGTGGTCATCCTGGTAATTTTTCCCCTTTGTCTTACCAAATATAAGAGGGTGTAGCAGAAATATTTGGGGGAAAATCTTTATAGAATAAAAATTATGAAATAAAGGAAGCTTTAATAAATGTATATTTTTCAGAAAAACAATGCTTCCTACCTCACAATAGCCAGTATAAAAAGTTAAAGTTGGTTGAATAATGAAGGAATATGAGCATGTTGACCTCCAATATGGCGGCCAACGGGAAATAACTCTTGCTAATTTGGGACTACTGAAAACTATCTATATGCTATGCTTTATGTGTGTTGCCGGTGTGTATGTACTGTTCTTGGTTCAAATAAGGATTTAGTTGATAAAGTATAATTTCTTAAAAGATATTTCTGTGAGTAGATGTAAGTGTACTTTAAACAAATGTATGAGAATTAATTTGCAACCATTTGTTATCGTTAGGATTGAGGATATCATACAATTACAGTGAAAATCACATTAAACCTTAAAAGGGATCCCATTAAAAAATAATAATAAAACTAAACGTACCTCTTCTACCCAATTTTCCAATAAACATTTTCCATCTGAGTTATTGAACCGAATTTCATTTCTTCCCTGATTTAACAAACTCATTTTTGTGTGTGTTCTGTAGAATTGTTGGCGGAAGTATTGCTAACCATGGAGATTCCAAACATTGAAGAGTTCCAATCAAGAAAGATAATTCGAAATTTCAGACACAATATATTTTTTATTGATAAAAATTAAATATATTTTCTATTTGACTCTGAAATGTCAATATTTACCCCTAAATTTATATGTAAAGAATACTGTGGTTTATATCTAAACTTTGTGTTTTGTTTTGTAATTATTTGATCGGGTTCAATCTTCATGAAATATTGAACACCAAAACAGTGGAAGGTGAGACACGAGTTCACGGAGTTGATTCCTCGTCAGTCGTCTACATTTCAGCAGCTAATTATGGCAGCTAGAATATCGGATACTGATGTAATCACCGATCTTGAAGGAGAAGAAGCACCCCAATGTGCACATGGTGTGTAGATTTGATCAACCAATCTGGTAAAATTTAGAACTAGAGACAGGTGACAACCAGTGATATGTGCGGCATATTACAGTGTTTTCTTCTTCTGTAGAGTGACAAAAATGGGATAGTTAATTAAATTTGAATCTAGAACTCAAGAACAAAGCAGGTATTAAAAATTTCAACAACAAAAAATGATTAAGAAAAGTTGTTCAAAAAAGGACTGGATTCTGAGAGGTTCAATTTTAAAATTGCTAAAATATTATGGTTACCTATGACTGCTATTTCAAATGAAAACTTCAACTTGAAAATGATCCCTGATCCATTGTTAGTAGATCCTTTTTAGGTATGTGAGTGTATTAAAAGATTGCAGCTTGGTCAAACGAAATAGAACTTTTCCTCATAGATATTTATAACTTTTACCTTTATTTTTAGCTCACCTGAGCTGAAAGCTCAAGTGAGCTTTTCTGATCACATTTTTTTTTCTGTTGTCCGTCTGTCTGTCTGTCCGTCTGTAAACTCTTCTTCTCCAGAACTACTGGGCCAATTTCAACCAAACTTGCCACAAAGCATCCTTTGGTAAAGGGGATTCAAATTGTTCAAATGAAGAGCCATGCCCTCTTTAAAGGGGAGATAATTAAGAATTAGTGAAAATTTGGTGGTACCTTTTAAAAATCTTCTTCTCAAGATCCACTGGGCTGAAAAAGTTGAAACTTATATGAAACCCTCCTTACATAGTGTAGATTCAAATTTGTTCAAATCATGACCCCCAGGGGTAGGGTGGGGCCACAATAAGGGATCAAAGTTTTACATAGGAATATGTAGGAAAAATCTTTAAAAATCTTCTTCTCAAGAACAACAAAGTCACAATTAGTCATATTGATGTGGAATCATCCTCAGGTAGTGTAGATTCAATTTCGTTCAAATCATGACCTCCGGGGGTAGGGGTGGGGCCACAATGGGGCATCAAAATTTTACATAAGAATATATAGGAAAAATGTTTAAAAATCTTTTTCTCAAGAACAGCAAAGCCACAATTAGTCATATTGATGAGGAATCATCCTCAGGTAGTGTAGATTCAAGTTTGTACAAATCATGACCCCCCGGGATAGGGTGGGGCCACAATGGGGGATCAAAGTTTTACATAGAAATTTATAGAAAAAAAAGTCTTTAAAAATCTTTTTCTCAAGAACAGCAAAGCCACAGTCAGTCACATTTGAATGGAATCATCCTCAGGTAGTGTAGATTCAAGTTTGTTCGAATCATGACCCCCAGGGGTAGGGTGGGGCCACAATGGGGGATCAATTTTCTGCATAGGAATATATAGGAAAATTTTGAAAAATCTGTTTCTCAAAACAACAAAGCCACAATTATTCATATTGATAATGAATCATCCTAAGGTATTGTAGATTCAGGTTTGTACAAATCATGACCCCCGGGGGGTAGGTTGGGGCCACAATGGGGGGATGAAAGTTTAACATAGGAATATTTAGAAAAAAATCTTTAAAAATCTTCTTCTCCAGAAAAACAAAGCCATGATTAGTCATATTGATATGCAAGCATCCTCAGGTAGTGTAGATTCAAATTTGTTTAAATCATGACTCCTGGGGGTAGGGGTAGGGTGGGGCCACAATGGGGGATCAAAGTTTACATAGGAATACATGTATATAGAAAAAAAAATCTTGAAAAATCTTCTCAAGAACAACAAAGCCACAATTAGTCATATTTGAATGGAATCATCCTCGGGTAGTGTAGATTCAAGTTTGTTCAAGGCATCCACCAGTAGTAGGGTGGGGCCATAATGGGGGATCAAACTTTTACAAAAGAACATATACATGTATAGGAAATATCTTTAAAAATCTTATTCTCAAGAACAACAAAGCCATGATTAGTCATATTGATATGGAAGCATCCTCAGGTAGTGTAGATTCAAGTTTGTTCAAATCATGACCCCCTCCATCCCCCCCCCCCCCCCCCCCCCCCCCCCCCGGCCGGCTAGGGTGGCAGACATTTTTTAAAGTCCGTTTTCAAGAACAGCAAATCCATGCATGATTAGTTATATGAATATAGAAGCATCCTCAGAAAGTTTAGATTCAATTTCATTCAAAACATGGCACCTGGGGGTAGGGTATGCCTAGAACAGGTGATCAAAGCTTTACATATGAATATATAGGAGAAGAAATCTGCTGACGAAGAACAGCAGGGCCATATTGACTCAGGTGAGCATTGTGGCACATGGGCCTCTTGTTTATTTACTCTTTTGCACTTCGTGCATGTCCATTTTTTGATGATAGTAGTAATAAAGTGGTATTAGAATTGATTTTTGTATTTAACAGTGTTTAATACAGCTGTCCTGCTTTTCTGTGATTTTATTTCAGTCCCTGTCTACTTTTCCATGACTACTACACATGGTAACAGGTGGGTTCACCACAATGGCATGTTCACTCTGAGTGGTTTCACCTCATGACAAGTGTTTTTACCCTGATTATACCTGTAACTAGTAATTATAGGCTTAAAATGTTTGCACAGAGATTTGGGCAGTTTGCTTTGACAAACTGCTAATGCGCTATGCTTGTGCTTTTTCCATGTGTGCTAAGGGAAAGATTTTGATGTGTTCAAAGTCATGCACCTATTTGATTAGTTTAACATTTTTTAAAAATGAAGTATATCTTCTTTGTCAAAATTTCAGAAAAAGATGTAGATTGAGGGGGGGGAAAATATATATATATATATTTCTAAACTACCATGCACTTATTTTACTTATCTAAAAATAGATGAAAAAGTTATTTTCATGAGTTTTTAAATAAAGTTTGCATGTCTATTAGTTGTAAAGAACTAATTGGTATTGATGGGCAACTTATTGAATTAAATTTATTACAGTGTTCATTAATTAACAACTGATCATATGACTTTTGCTTTCTTAAACATTCAGTACACTGTATGTTTTGGGGAAACTACTTGGGGTGAATCCACTCAGGGGAAACAGGGAATTGGGGTGAAACCACTCGGTGCAAACAGGTAATCAGGGGGAAACCAATCGAATTCCTTTACACTGCTTTTCTGCGATTGGGTTTTATATAAGTTGTATGTTATCTCCTTATTTGAAACCTCTTGTTTGTGAATTTTGAATGGCCACGGGTAGTGCTTAGCAACAAACGGTTTGTTTGTTCATACTAAAACAAACCGTTTGTTGCTATTGTATAATATATGGTGGATACACTTATAAAAAAAAAACTCAATGTTTTAAATAATGGTGATGTTTCTTATTAATGAGCAGCATTGAAAAAGTATGCATAGATACAACTGATGCACAAGGAGTTGTTGTGTTAAGAAATTTTCCTGGTTGACGAAAAAAGTGCATATTAAATAAGTCGCGGAAAAGCAAAAAATATAATTGCAGAATAGCAGTATGATTTTTCACGGCAAAGCAGGATTTTTTTTGTGAAAGAGCAGTACCAAATCACAGAAAAGTGAAACTGCATTTAATACATATACTGGGGTATATGGCATAATTGGTGTTTAATTAAGAGAATTTTTATATATAGGGCCAGCTCTAATGTTTGTTCGATACAGTGGTTCTGATCAAGGCAGGAGATTCTTTGCTTGTTCAGCATTCAGGGACAGAAAAGCTTGTAGTTTCTTCAAGTGGTGTGATGACAAAATCACAAAGGAAAACGAAGAAATGCGAAAAATGAGACGTAAATCTGAAGAGTTAATGCTTACGCACAAGCAGTATAGGAAAAGGTTTGTGTATGATATATGTCTGTAGGTAATTAAATACATGTTACTTGCATCAACTTTCCAAGAATAACCAATTCTGTTTACAACAAACTGCCATTGAATTGGAAAAGTTCACTGAATACAATATTTCAATCAAAAGTATATCATAGATGTAATACTATTCAATTATATTAGGATTTTTGAAAGAAATAATTGTTCATTTAGAGATGGAATTATTGAAATATTCCTTAATTTCAATCAGTGTTTTTCTCCTCCTAGATTTTTAAGTTTTAAAAAGCTACCTCTGAAGGAGAGAGATATGTGTCGAACATGTGGTTTGTTTTTGCTGCCAGGTGAGGTGAAGGATCATGGCAAGCATGACATTCTGAGCAACGTTAGCAAAGCCATGTTAAAAGTACCATCAAAGCTCTTCCTTCCCCTCGACAACAACAAAACTTATGCTGTGAGTATTTATTTCTCATCAATGAACTTTTATACTTTTGTACATTTATGAATACTTTGGATATATCTATAAAACTCACACTGATATGATGAAGAAGTAAGAAGAGAACAAGATGTGTTTGTGAAACACTATGCCCCCGATGGTAACACAGTTCTGGAGTGGGACATAGACTACAGTGCAATAGTTATGGCCAATGTTAAAGTTTTTCAAATGTAGGTCAAAAGTCACAGTTGAGCTCACATGATCAAAAATTTCTGTACCAGTGGAAAGGTCTTGTCATATTGAACGCTCATGTCAAATATTGAAGCCTTACCCTTGACAGCGCAATAGTTATGGGCTAGGTTAAAGTTGACAACAGACAGACAGACAAACAAACAGACAGACAGGACAAAAACAATATACCCACGGGATTTTTCGATCCAGGGGGCATAAAAAGAAATGAACATTCTGAAGATAAGCAAGTCTGCTTAGAATAGACTGCCAGTGATTGTTGAAGTTGCTTTTTTATACCCATAATTCTATGTGCCCCAGAAAAATTTGTTTGAAATAAATAAAGATTGGATGGTTGTTCACTTTTTTCCAGCAATATTTGTTTTCTGAGAAGACAGTGAAGTTTGTCCTGGGGCAATTAAAGAGCCTACATAAAACACATATAATTTGTTTAGGAGCACCAAGGTATGTAAAGATAAGTAATACATGTATATATATTTATTGTAAGACGTCATTTTGAAATGGCCGGTAGTAGCAATTTCAGCATTCAAAGTATTTTATCATTCCTACTTATTCACTGAATTCCAATGTTCCTAGTAAGATTAAGTATTATGAAAGACAAAGAATAAATGTCTTCCATTGAAATCATTCATTTCTAACAACATTCATGTCAAAAAAAAAAAGAAAGAAAAAGAAAGAAAGAAATGTAAACCTAAATATCCAAGCGGCTCAGTTAAGTACTTTACCTTGGATGTAAGGTTTTTTAATTTATCAATATTTCTGAGAAAATATAGAATATGCCCATCTTTAAAAATACATGTATGTCTATGAAAACACGACTAAATATTTTGCACAGAATTCATGAAGCAATAATGAATGAAAAGGATGGTACACTGACAAGTTTTCTGTTGGATTTGGATTCAAGATATGTAAGTCTATATATTGCAAAATCTATGATTAAATTCTTCTTTTATTTAATTATGCAAAATCAAGATTGTTCAAAAACTATAAAATTCTGAAATCTAATTTTAGATGCAGTTATATGGACCTAATAACTATGCTAGATACAACATGTTCAACCATCATTTCTTTGATGGGGAAAAATCTGCACATTCATTCACCAAGTTTATGAACAGTTGTTCACATGACCAGGTTGCCATGGTATTTGATCCACCATTTGGTGGGATGGTGGATGCCCTGTCAGCTTCCTTAAGGAAGATATCAAACCTCTGGAGGACAACATCACAAGGTTTACAGAATTTTATTTTTACAACAGAACTTGTGTAAATACAGTTGAACTTTGTTATCTCAAACACTGATATCTCCAATACCATGGATATGTCGAAGTTTTTTGCATGTCCCAACCACTTATTCTTTAAGTATTTTACCCTTGATATCTTGAATCTTTGGATATCTCGAAGTTTTTTCTTGGTCCTTTCGAGTTCGAGATAACGAGATTTGACTGTATTTCCAAAATTAAAAAAAAAATGCTTGCATGTAGAAATTATTTAAGATTCTGTCTTAGCATGTTATGCTTATGGTAGGGCTTTGTAACTGATCCTAAAATTCAAATCAAAAAGTAAAATGCTTTTTTTTTCTTTATAAAACTGTTTTTATTACAAAATTTGAGTGCAAAACCAGAGATAAATTAATATACAGGTTACTGGTAAACAAAAATGTAAACAGTAAAACACACTTATAACGAAGTGCCAGGGACAGATGATTTTGATTCGTAATAAATGTAATTCATTATATCCGTTAGTATAACATAAAGTTTAAAGTCCTGGGGATGCTGTAAGCATCAATTCATTATATTAAAGCTTGTTCGCTATAAGCCTGTTTCACTGTATATTGTCTTACTTTGTTTCTTATGTACTGATCCTTTATTTATGAAAATATCTTAATGTGTCTTTTTGTACTAAAAGTTTTACTGTCTCAGAGAATAATACTTGTTTGTCGGAAACTTACAGGAACATTTTATTTGCATACAGACACATTAAACATGATACAGTTGAACTTTGGTATCTCAAACACCGATATCTTGAATACCATGGATATGTCACAGTGTTTTGAAGTCCCAACCCCTTATTCTTTAAGTATTTTACTCTGGACATCTTGAATCCTTGGGTATCTCAAAGTTTTTTTCTCCGTCCCATTGAGTTCGAGATAAAGAGGTTTGACTGTACTATAATGCAACTTACATGCATGTATAAATTTGCTGATATCTGAATTTTCTCAGCCCCTGAAGATGCATCTCTGTGTATTTTATGGTTCTTTCCTTACTTTATGGAAAAAAGGATAATTGACTCATTTAAAGATATCCAAATGCTAGATTACAAGGTAGGTAAATTATGTGTATTTATTACATTCTCAACAGTGAAATACTGTAATTTATTCATTGAATAAAAGTGATATTTTGTCATAATGTGTAAGAATATTAAAGTGATATTTTGTCACAGTGTGAAAGAATTTCAAAAGTGTGGCAAAATTCTCACTTTTCTTTCCCTTCATGAAGAGTGTTGTTAGAAATAATCCCTGGCCTGTTACAAGATATGATAAATAAACAATCCTGACACAGAGACTAAATCAGCCAAAGTTTCTTCAAATATGTTGTTGAAATCCATGTTTTAAAATGTTTTCAATCTCATAATCGCTTAGCTATGACGTCGGAACCACTCAACTATGGCATCACAGCCTATGACACTGTGTTTTGCAAAGAGAGAGGCAAAGAGAAAATCAAAGAAAATATATTTATTTATTATAAACAGAAAATTCAATATTTTGTAGTTGAATATGGAATTTATTTCACTCATGAGAGAGAATTTTTTTTTTTTACGATTTTTTACTCATGATTCGCACTTCTGAAATATAACAAAAAATCTGTCTCATTTGTGAAATATTAAAACACCATATCCAACTACAAAACATTGAATACTGTAAGTTGTTTTAATTCCACAGTCTTAAAATTCCACGATTTCTCAAAAAGTACCAATCGCGATGGTTTTAATTTCTCACTGCAAGAAATTAATTTAAAATTTGTATAAGCATTTAAACGTTTTTAAAAACTAATAATAGCATTCACGATGGGTTTATTTTTGTGGAAAACTGATAAATCGCGAACATAGTGAAATTGAATACAGTATCCTCTATATGTCTAATTAATTCTATCAATGTTTAATTCACATGGGAAAGGAATGGACAGCAGTTTTTAAAGGAATATCCTGTCATTAATATTGTACAAAACAAAAAATAAAACACAAATTAAAAAACATGACTGGTATATACATGTATACCACTTTAAATTTGTGTAATCATCTTACTGTATTTAGGTTGACTATGACAACCACCAGCTGTTCCAGGGTGATGTAAAGAAGTATGGATCCCCTGTCAGGATATTTACCAATATCCCCCCTCACAAGATCACCCTACCAGCAGAAGAAGGATACAGGTATTGGGTTATGAGATTTTTTTTTACTCTTTATCAGATTCGTGTCCACAATCTCACCTTTAACCATACTGTTCTGACAGTTTAAAGAGTTAAATGTATTGTAGAAGCACAAATTTTCGTGGGTATAAAATTTCGTTGAATTGTCATGTAAAAGGGTTTCGTGGACATTAAATTTCGTTGTTTCAAAATTAACTCTATTCAATATATAGTCATAAAAAAGTTCTTGAGGGATTTAATTTCGTTGATAATTATTAACAACGAAATAAATGATATTTAATCCCCAATGAATATTTCTGCTTTAACTGTAAATCTTTTTTTTTTTTTATGTATTTTAGGTTCTGTAAAGTATGTAATAGGTATTCTGCCAAAGAAAATGTACACTGTGATGTTTGTGATATTTGCCCCTCAAAAGTAAGTTTGTAGGAATTATCTCTATGTTAGCAATTAAATCTATGTCTTTATACCTACATTGTGTATGCATTTGTAAAATATACCAAGAAATGAAGAATGTTTAAAATACTACAGAAGTTTTCATATGTTTGAAGGATGGGAGGACATACAAACATTGTTTTAAATGTGAACGGTGTGTGAAGCCCAACAAAGAACATTGCAGTGTTTGTAAATCATGTCAGTTAAGGGATCATACCTGTGGAAAACCTAGCCAAGGTAAGACCAATCATGTCAGTTAAGGGATCATACCTGTGGAAAACCTAGCCAAGGTAAGACCAATCTGTGGTAGACATGTCAGTTAAGGGATCATACCTGTGGAAAACCTAGCCAAGGTAAGACCAATCCATGGTAGACATGTCATGAATTCAGAAGGACTTAACTGTGAACAAAAAATATAGAAACTGATTCTTTTTCTGTTTGTTGAGAGATAGAAGACCATGAAAACATAATTGTCTCCCCTTTTTACATCAGAGATCAATAATTGTTCCATATTCAATAAAAACATACAAACATTGTTTTAAATGTGAACGGTGTGTGAAGCCCAACAAAGAACATTGCAGTGTTTGTAAATCATGTCAGTTAAGGGATCATACCTGTGGAAAACCTAGCCAAGGTAAGACCAATCATGTCAGTTAACGGACCATACCTGTGGAAAACTAGCCAAGGTAAGACCAATCATGTCAGTTAAGGGATCATACCTGTGGAAAACCTAGCCAAGGTAAGACCAATCATGTCAGTTAAGGGATCATACCTGTGGAAAACCTAGCCAAGGTAAGACCAATCATGTCAGTTAAGGGATCATATCTGTGGAAAACCTAGCCAAGGTAAGACCAGTCTGTGGTAGACATGTCAGTTAAGGGATCATACCTGTGGAAAACCTAGCCAAGGTAAGACCAATCTGTGGTAGACATGTCATGAATTCAGAAGGACTTAACTGTGAACAGAAAATATAGAAACTGATTCTTTTTCTGTATGTTGAGAGATAGAAGACCATGAAAACATAATTGTCTCCCCTTTTTACATCAGAGATCAATAAATTGTTCCATATTCAATAAAGTTTCCTTTCATGGGGTAACATTCTTAAGAAAGGATTAAAAAAAAATTATTGAAACTTTTTTGATGTTATTGTTCTGTAGGATGTCATATCTGTGGTGCTTTGGATCACAAGAGAAGAGAATGTCCAAAGAAAGGAATTCAATCATCAGCCAAAAGGTTCAAAGATGAATTTAATATTTTTAAAAAAAAAAAATCAATATTCACACTTTGCCTACAAATTTTACAATAGAATATCATTACATATGCCACAGAAGTCCCCAAAAGTTTAAATTTTTCTTTTTTTTTTGAAAGCAGACTTTTATTGAAATTAAAATTCATTTGATTGAATGTATGGGTTTAATAATGTTTTCTTAGAGAAAAGATCAACATTTGAGTAAAGTTCTTAGTCAAGCTGATAAATTTATTAGTCCCTTATCAGTGAAAGCATTGTTTATCAGTTATAGCCTTGTATGGAAATTGATTCTGCATATTTGAGGAGATATGTATTATTTTTTTCCAACAACACATGGTAAGACAATTGTCTATGGTGTTAATGCATTGTGCATTTTCTTAGATTCAGTGAAGCAGTTAACATATTTTTAATTGTATTCATTATGAATATTTGTTACAGTTGGTAGGAGATGTATTATTTAAAAAGACTCGACATTTACCATTGTTCTAGAAATACTGTAAATGTAATGTATAGTGAGCATGTATGATATTTGGCGGAAATTTCTTTTTCAATAAGATACATATACATGTACTGTAGATTTGATTTAGTGCATTTCTAAATGTTTATATTAATATACATGTATACAAGACATTTTGCAGTGTTCTCAATTTAGTAAAAGCTGCTTTTTGCCAAAGGCGCCAAATAGAATGCACAACCAATTGTAATATGTTTACAGAACTTGCTTCACTCATGGTAAACATCTGATTATTAAATCGGCAGATGAAACAAAATATCATCCCCCCATCCCAGTATAACGTAGAATAATGGCTTGAACTTATCATTAATTTAATTTAGGCCTATGGAATTGAGTTGTTTATGTGTTTCAAATTTACTCAGAGCTTTGATTGAATTTGAAATAATGTACTTAGTCTTATATGACAATCTATCATTTTATCTTTTCAGGAAAAAGAAATGGTCTGAAGATAAATCAAAGAAAAAAATAAAATGTACAAAAATTTAAAATAAAATAATGTATATTAAAATCATGTTTGTGCTCTAACACACTATCATTTAGTAAAATGGAAATCTGACTCAATTTTTCTTTTTTTTTTGAATACTGTTAGGGTCCATCAGGGGTGTAATCTGGATTTCCCATTGCCTTTACATATATGTATCCTGAAATCAAAGATAATTTTAAGTCTTTATGATTCCTTAAATGTGTAGTCCTGTAATCAATGTTTTACTACAATGTAAATCTAGTTATATAGCATAATGGAAAATCTTGTCCCAGTATCAGCCTTAAGACACAAAAGGAAAAAAAATATTATTAAAATCGTTATGTTCTTAATATCCTGGATAATACTTGGTTAAAAGGTGTTTTGGTTTTACGAAATAATTTAGACGTAGCATGAATTAATTTTACAGCACAATGAAGTGATGTCGCAGTCAACTTTGGAAATCCACAAGTTCTGCTTGTGATAAAAGCACTGATTTGCAAATTACCATGTAAGTCAGTTGTGAATGAAGTATTTAGTCGTAATGTTATGTCAGATGTTTTCGTACTAATTATCATACATTACATACCAAGTTATGTAGAAGAGGTCTCTCATAGCCATACAAAGAAAAATTCTCTCAGATGGAAGAAAAAAAATATTATCAAGTCATCTGTGTGGTATTTTGATAGGGCCACTCACACCTTCACACTTTAATAGCCTTTAGTACAAATTAAGATGCCGGTATTATTATCGCTTTTTGGCCTTGGCAAATTCTTCCCACTTCCGACTTCGCAACTTTTTACTCTTGTGTTTTTGCCTTTGGAAGACACATGTGCCAGTTTAAGATGCAATGTGATATACTATGGACTATGGAGTGACATAGAACCAATTCTTGCACCCTCTTACTTTTGCCTTTAGGGCAAAGATGTGAGAGGCTGAAGCTGCAAAGATGAAACAGCGAAGAAAAAAAATTGCTAAGGTGAGAGGACAAAGGTTTTCGCTCTTTTTTATCTTAGTTTTTTGCCTTATCACATGTTTGCCTTGAATCTTTGCACTTTTGGCTTCTTCACATATTTGCACTTTACTTTTCACATATTAACCCTAAAGACAACAGTACAGAGGTGTGAGTTGCCTTTAAGTTTTCAAAGACCATGAATCACAGGGACTTGCTAATTATTCCCCAGTCCCAGCGGCTAAAAAATATTTATTAAAAAAAATACGTACTAAATTGGTTGTTGTTTTAGTAGTTCATATATGTCTTTATTTTGATAAATACTTTTATACGCCGGGAGAAATGAGGGGACGACCAATTGATTCTGAAGGGGTTGGGGCTGGCAGATTTCGGAAATAATAATCTGCACTCGAAAATGTTGAAAAAGTTTGAAATATTTTCAAAATTGCCAGCAATCAAAATGAATTTGAATAACCATTCTTATACTGGATTCCTAAACTTCATAAAAATCCTTACAAAGATACATTGCGGGTTCCAGTAAATGTTCTACCATGCCTCGTTCTTTACTCCTCACTAAAATATTAACAGCAGTGAAGGAGAAACTTCGGGAGTACTGTACAACAATATATTCAAGAAATGGTGTAAATCAGATGTGGATACTTAAAAAATTCAAAGGAACATTTAGAAGGTTTGAAATCACAACATTTTACTAAAATCAATAACATCAAAACTTTATGATAAACGGTATGACTTCAACTTTTTCAATCGTTAACTTCCCTTACTTATGTAACAATATATTTTTATCACCTGCATATATGGGGTTTATGTCACAGGCACTTGTTTCGGTAATAATCTTTTTAAACCCATAGCATATTTATCATACTATGGATTAAAAAAAATATTACCGAAACAAGTGCCTGTGGTTTATGTCTCTCAGTTGATTCGATACGCGAGAGCATGCTCTACGTTCGAACAATTTCTAAAATGAGACAAGCTATTTACAAACAAGTTAATGAAAAAAGAATATCAACAATCTCGTTTAATAGTCAACACAATGACCTTGTCAGCAAATACAATATATCAATAAGTCAAATGCCGACTGACGTTTTTCATACTAATTGTTAGGCTATTATTTACACACTGAATTGTCTACGGATTTTTCCGTTTTTTCCGATCATGACAAGGAGTACACGGCGCGTGTGACCGGTCGGCAGGGGATGCTCACTCCTTCATGACACCTGATCCCACCACTGATGTTTTGGAGGTCCGTGTTTTCTCTACTCCTGATCTGTATTGATTGAGCGGACTTTTGGCCTTGAATACCGTTCCTGTTTGTCAAACTTTTTTTCAGTGAAAAAAAAAAAAATCTGTCCTTGTTCATCTTGAAAATAAGTAATCTGTCCTTGGCCGGCATGAAAATAAAAAAAAATTGCAGACCCCCCCCCCCTTTTCAGATTCAAATGGTTATCTTTAAACCCTCGTAACAAAAGGGGGAAACACTCTTTTATTTCATATGGGATCATTATAACTGCATGATGTATTAAAATATCGTATGAATATGCCATTTTAAAGAAAAAGACAGATAAAAACCCCATCATATTAATTAGAAGCAAACATACAATTTTTCTTTATAGTACTGTGCTAAGGGGAATAACTCTGCCATTTATTTTGATCGAGATCAAGATTCAACAAATCGCAATTCGTATTCCCTCGAAAATCCAAGCAGTCAGCAAATATCAAGATTTTGTTTTAGAGCTGAAAAATACCCGTCATACCTCTACATAGATCAAAATGAAGTAATGTCATGGAATTTTATTTCAAACTAAAAAGAAAAGGGATTATGTTTATGAAGTGAAACGGAGGGCAATGCATTGTAGATCAAGAAAAGTTTGCTTTATGTTCAATTGGGAAAAGCTGAAATATTCAACTAATAATGTGTCAGTTAATTTTTTTTACAGATTGAATATTGATGGTCTGCTTGTTTATTTCCCGTATGACTATATTTACCCGGAGCAGTATATGTATATGCTGGAGCTTAAAAAAACTCTGGATGCCAAGGTGAACATTTTATGGTGGTGATTATTACTTGTACATGCAGGTTTCTCAGACTGTTTCTTTTGTTGGGAATCTTTTTCTGGAATACAGCCAGCTGTAAACACACATGTAAACATACATGAAACATTGTCTATCAGCTGTAGTTAGTAACTCAGGGGTGACCCAGTTCAGCCATACATTTCCTCCTTTCCTTCTACAAATGAAATGTTATTTATGTCTTTCTTTTCAGATAATAACACTCCTCCATGAAGTAGCTACTTCGATATAAACTAATAAAAAGGAAAATTTGAGGGATATTGGCCTATTTTGAAAACCTTGTGTAAATTGGTGTAAATGTTGTGACAGCATGCATACATGTGCAAGCTAGAAAGTTCTTTCTATTTAGTAATAGTTGGAAAGTTGGGAAGTCATGTACTATTTTAGAGAAAGCGATTTGTACCAAGAATTAATGATAATATCTGCATTTTGGTAGGTATTTTGATTTATCAGTAATTTCTAATTCTTGTAGGGACACTGTGCTTTGGAAATGCCTTCTGGTACAGGCAAAACTATTTCTCTACTCTCTCTCATTGTTGCATATATGAAGGTTAGTGAATATATAGAGTTTAAATGTGGAAATCAACATCAATATTTTCATAAATCCATTTTAAAAATAACCATTTTTTATTAAAAAAGCATCAATTTAGTGTAAGATTACCTAAAGAACAATACACATAACTAGTTGTTGTTTGTTTTTTTAGGCAAATCCACTGGAAGTAACAAAGCTTATTTACTGCTCAAGGACAGTTCCAGAGCTTGAAAAAGTTTGTTTATAAAATTGTTCTAATGGAGAGAGATTATTGCAATGAATTTTGAATGAAATACTTAATATTTACTACATGTACTATGTATGTAATTACTTAATAGTGTGTAGTTATAAATTCCTGTATTTTCTTTTTTGTGCAAATTCTGCAATTACTGTACAGTGAAAGGAATTGTAAAGAAAAGCATCCAAGCATGCTAAGTAAAAATGAAAATGTAAAGTTATGTTTTCACACTATGTTAGAAAAATCATGGAAATTCATTTAAATTCATAGAAAAAATTGTGTGTAAAAATACCATGATATTATTGTGATATTTGGAAAAAATCATGATATATTGCCATATAAAATTTTGGCGATGCCCATACGTATTACTAATACAGGTATGAACAATGATTCAAATGTGACAAGTTCATTCATTTTTTTTTTATATGAAAAGGTTGTTGCTGAACTGAAAAATCTGATGGATTACTATGAACAGCAACTTGGAAAAGGAAAGCCAAAAATACTGGGACTTGCTCTTAGTTCAAGGAAAAATTTGTGTATTAATCCAGAGGTAATTTTTCTAGTGCAGAGTTTTCAGTGGTTATAATCTGTGGTACAGAACATTTTCATAGACGTAGCATCACATGTCATACTGATATCCAATTCCAAATGCAATGCTTTTGTCATTCTGTGATTCAATTATTTAAGTTCTTGAAGTTACACAAGGCCACACAGCAATGTTAAGGCTACACAAAGGAGGTGGGCGTAATTTATATATTTACTAGCTGTGACATCACAAAAAAATAATTCCTCTTATACAAGAAAATAATTTGTGATTTTAAACTGTATGAGAGTCAAACTACATGAAAACATTTTAATTTATGACTAGTTAAATTTCACACAGCGAGGTGTAAACACCTGTAGTTATGACATCAGCATGGTAAAATCTGATGCATTTTATGTGCAGTGACAAGCTGATCAAGTAATTTTTTTCGATGTGAAAAAAGTGCATTTTATTATCAAACAGAATATTTAGAGAATCTTAATGGACCATAAATACCAACATGTATCATTTGTTTAATGTCATAATTCAACTATTATCAAGAGAGTGTATTGAATTTATTCTGCCGTTTTTTTTTTGTACTGTGATGGCATGTTAAAGATAGAGGTGCCTCATTAAATTGCTTTTTTGCAAAGACATGTACTTAACAGATCCCAACCATTTTTTTAAAAAAATTAAGTAAAGGAAATGTTCCGTAACTTGAAAAGTGCTGCTGCTTTTATGTATCAAGAACGTTACATACTAAACACATAGAATACTTGTTAACAGATACACATACATGTATTTCAGGGGAGTCCCATCCCTTGAAATTTAAACAAATAAAATGCAAATTCTATTTAAAGCAGCAGCACTTTCCAGAAACTACCAGATATGTAAAAAGGTTTGTTAATTAAAAGTTCAATTTGATTGAGTATGACCTTGTGATACATGTATTGAAATTTGTTTTTGACCTCCATGAAGTGGGTGAATTTATTTTAAAAAGGTATCTATTTGTGCATTTCTATATTCTGCTGATTTCTTCTTAGCAGTGCTGCACAGGTGAAAATTATGAAAGTTTGTCTCAGTGAAATATGCATAAAAGATTTCCACACTACATGCTTTTGAATTGAAGAAATTTTCAAATGAAAGTTATTGCAAATATGTCTGAAGGACGAACGTATGAAACAAATTTATTCCCAAGGACGGTTAGTCTGCAGTATTAATGACAGGGAAATGTTGTGGTAAGAATAGGGATTTATTTGAGTGATGTTACGAGACAGCGTTTTTATGCTCTAGGTCAGTCAAGAGAGAGAGGGTAAGACAGTCGATGCTTTGTGTCACAAGCTCACGGCTTCATTTGTCAGAGCCAATCACAAGAGAGATCCTATGGTACCTGTCTGCAGCTTCTTTGAGGTAAGCATTTGGAGAAAATGTATATATATACAAGCTTACAGCGTGTGCATGCATGTACACTATGTGCTAATGTCATTTTCATTTATAACAATACTTTTTCTTACTGTAGAATTGAATGCATGACACCATGAATTTGACTTTTTCCGCCTACTTTTGTAGAACTTTGATGCACATGGAAAAGAAATTCCTCTTCCTGAGGGAGTGTATGGACTGGTGAGACAGTAACAAAAACTTTGATATGTTTGTTTATTTTCCAGACTATTTAGTTTTGTTTTTATTCAAGACTTAAGATCAACTGAATTACTGCAGTGTTTGATCTCTTGTTTTACAGGATGAATTACAAGAATATGGAAGAAAAAAGGGATTCTGTCCCTACTTTTTAGCTAGACATGCTGTAAGTTGTTGGTTTTGTGTACTGTTAGAGGAATTGTTTAATTCATCAAACTTTAAAAAAAAAAACATATGCAACATAAAAACAATCCTTTCTTTATCTAAAAATTTAGTGAGATGTTTTGTTTTCTTTACTATAAAGTAAATGAACATATGTTGATGTATCTGAATTGATGTACCTGTATTTATGTATTTATGTATGTGCAGGGCTTGTATTTATGTAACTGTTGATTTATCTGTGTTGATCGATATACATGTATCTGTATGTGGGATTGCATTTATGCTTGCAGTGAATCTGTGTTGATGTACCTATATGTCTGTATTTCTATTTATCTCTGCTCTTATACCTATATTGATGTATCCTCTTCCAGATAAATCATGCAAACATTGTGGTGTACAGTTACTATTATCTACTGGATCCTAAGATTGCTGAGCTGGTCTCTAAAGAACTCTCCAAGAAAGCTGTTGTTGTGTTTGATGAGGCTCACAATATTGGTATCCAGTTCAATTTGTTACATCCCGTGTAATACCTAACTTAATTAACAACTTTGAAAATGTGTTTTTGTAAAAAAAATTTCTGGTTACTGGTAGGTAAATTAATTAAGAAAAAATCTTTTTATTAATGTTTCAGACAATGTTTGTATAGAATCAATGAGCATCAAAATCACAAGGCGAACACTGGAGAAATGTCAACAGAATATTGATAGCCTCAATAGACATATCCAGAGGTAAAAAAAAACATCTTGTAAATCTTTATCACAAAATGTCTAAATTTTCTATTCTGTCAAAGTAGAATATTTACTTCTGTTAAGAAATCTGTGAAATTTCATTTGGCTGTTTATGCATAATAAAATTATTCTTATTAAAGATTAAAAGACAGTGATGCAGAGAGACTTAAAAATGAATATCAGAAACTGGTTCAGGGATTGAGAGATGCAAACATTGCAAGAGAAACAGATGTTATTCTAGCTAATCCAGGTGAGCTAAGACAATCCAGGTGAGGTAAGACAATCCAGGTGAGCTAAGACAATCCAGGTAAGCTAAGACAATCTAGGTAAGGTAAGTGAATTAGTTGAAATATAAGCATTTTCCCTCTAATAATCTTAAACTGAAGAAAATAGCTTACTCAAGGGCTAAATTTAAAAAGACATGTATATATAAATATACAGTATTAATCTCAAAATTTTGAAGAAAGAATTTTTTTTTCAAATTGATATGAAATTCCCACAATACAATATCACCATTCTAGTATGTTTGCAATTATACTCGTATCCTGATTATAAGAGGAAATACTCGTATTCTGATTATGAGGATGTAAGTATTCCTCATTTTACTAATAATCTGTCTATCTCTACTTTCAGTCCTCCCAGATGATGTTCTCAAAGGTATTGTTCTAAAGGCTTATTTTCTAACAGCTTCTTTTATGTATTAAGGACATTGGCAAGGTTCCTGGTTATTGTATAGAATTTTTCAAGAACTCTTGAGTAGGTTTAATTGTAAAAAAACAGGCTTAATTCTGGATTGTTTAACATACCAAGCCAACCTTCTTTTTTAGATTTTCTCAAATGAGTGTTTTTGCAATTCTCAATGCATTTCCTATGTAAAATGTTGATTAAAGGGACCTACATAATTTTTCACCATAATATTTCTCCAAAACCCACTTATTTCATATAGTTTTTGTATTATATATATTATTGTATCTTCATTTCCTATGACTTCTAGATATTTTGGCTGAAAATGTATATATAGAAACAAGACAAGGACATACCAGCACCGATCTTTATTTTTGAGTTACTTCCCTTAACAGCTATAATTACATATTATTCATACTGGTCAAGAGAGTCAGACTAGCTGATTGTTTCCATCATGTAATTGACTGAATTGATTGAAACATATTGTCAAAAAAATATTGGCATGGATTTATTTTAATTTTCATTCGTAGTTACTAAATGCTGCTTCCTTCACACGACCAAAGAACTGATCTCTGTCGGTCTACCTTTCAGCATATGTCACAGCTTAGCCCTTCCCAGCATACTGAGCATAACTCATGGTAAATGACCTCCTGTTGGCTCTTTGTCCCCTGAATACAATGCACAACAAAGCCATTACTACTTTTCTTTCTTGCTGTATAGATGATTCTACCCGTTGAAGGAAGTACACGTGCTTTCTGTTTACCTCTGTATCATACGCTTTATTAGTTTTCACCGCTTAGAGAATTCTACACAGGAGATCACTCTCAATCACTTTTTCATAAGTGAAAAACCCATGTATTAAACCTTTTTTCTCCGGAAAACCCTGACTTGCCAATGTCCTTAAGGAAAATAACTATTTAGAAATTTGGAAATTGAAAAAAAATTTCACAATATTTTGTGCATTTATTTTAAAGCTTAAATTTGTATTTGATGAATAGAATGTCGCATCACAAAACATAGATGTTTTTAGGTCACTTGATTACCTAAGGTGATCTATTGCTGTTTTTGTACGTTGTTGTTCTTCATTTGTCAGTCTAACTCTTGAACATTTTGAGCTTCTTCTCTTGAACCACTGAACCAATTTCAACCATTTGGCATATATCATCAATGGGTGAAAGGATACAAAAATTATGAAATTCATTACTGTATTACCAGTATGTTGATCCCTGATCATCCTATTTCTCTTGCTGTTGGGCAACATAGCTTCATCTATCAGTTTATTTCATTTTATTTTATACTTCTATGGATCCTTTACAGTGTTATATTATACTTAAGTGATTGTTAAGCCCCCAAGGCCTCTTGTTTGATTTCCCCCATCATTCTTTTGCAACATATTTTGCAAGAAAACAAACCTTATCACTTTGCAGAAGCAGTTCCTGGTAATATCAGAACAGCTGAGCATTTTTTGGGCTTCATGAAACGATTCCTAGAGTACATGAAAATAAGGTTACGTGTCCAGCATGTTGTATCTGAAAGTCCACCATCGTTCCTCAAGGACTGTGTTCAGAAAGTTTGTATTGAAAGGAAACCACTAAGGTAATTCAATGAGCCATACTTATGTCTATTTTGTTTTAATATAATATTTTAAAATTTTAAAATACAGTCAAACCTCGTTATCTCGAATTTGATGGGACCAGGGTTCGAGATATTGAGGGTAAATTACTTAAAGAATTAGCGATTGGGACTTCCAAATCACTTCGACATATCCAAGGTATTCGAGATATCAGTGTTGAGATCCCGAATTCAACTGTATCTTATCTTTGATTGGCTTGAAAGTAAAATATTACCAGTATGTACAAGCATATATTGCACATAGAATACATGACCCCCCAAAAAAATGCACGACCTCTTTCAGCAAAGTATATGTAGATCTATGACGCAATATAAATATTAATACTGTTCTGTTATGTTCTTTGATGTAAATGCTCATTTGCATTCCAAGTTAATCAGTGATGTTTCAAGTCTTGATCACTTTACCCTTAAGTGTTTCAAACCTGCAATTCATGTGCAATGGCAATAGTTAACATGCAGCCATGTGATATTTCAACCTCATAGTTTTACTCTAATGTAAATGCTTTGAGTAGTGTTTGTAAATAGCATGGTAGCAAACATATGTACATAGGGACAAAATTAACTTAAAGATAACTCTGTATATGATATATAATGCATAAACCTGTAGATTGCATATAATTTACATATAAAACAAAAATGTTATTGTAACAAACAAGCTGGAAAGAAGAATCAGTGAGCATAAAATTATTTTCAGTATAAGAATTGATGGAATTTGGATTTAATTTGGGTTATGTTTTTGATCAGATTTTGTGCTGAGAGACTGAATTCGCTAATGAGGACCCTGGAGCTGGTAGAGGTACAGGACTACACGGCTCTCTCTCTCCTCTGTCATTTTGCCACTCTTGTCAGCACATATGCAAAAGGTAAAGAGATGAGAGAAAATAATTCAAAACAAAAAGAAAAGGTAAATGGATGTATTTTGTAGGCTTTTTGTAGATCACTGAGTTATTATTTATGATCTTGTAGGCTTTGTACTGATCATTGAGCCGTTTGATGACAGAACTCCCTCCATTATGAACCCCATTCTTCACTTCAGCTGTATGGATGCATCTATTGCCATTAAACCTGTTTTTGACAGATTTCAAACTGTGGTCATTACTTCAGGGGTGAATATTTTTTAAGAAAAAGTATTTTCATGTTAGTTTTTGTATTGGAAAATATTGTTGAAATGGTATGTATTAGGGAAGATGTTTAAAGAGAAAAATGTTTTAACTATTTAAAATGAAAGAAAGATATTTCTTGCTTAATTTTTTAATATTAATACATGTATGCATTTGTACAATATACATGTACATGTAAATTCAAAGCTTGAAAGTGAAAGTAGGAAGCATTAAGATAAATTCTGCTCTTCCAGACATTGTCACCTCTTGAGATGTATCCAAGGATACTGGATTTTCGACCTGTTACCATGGCAACATTTACAATGACCTTGGCCAGAACATGTATTTGTCCCATGGTTTGTAACTTGGAATATCAACAAGCTAGATATCAGTATACATGAAGTTAATATTGCATTAGACTGAGATATTTTACAAATTAAAATACAATTACTAGATAATTTGAAAATTTTGTTGTGAATTTCTCTTGCATTGATGCAGCATTGTCAGTTTCACCATACTTTTGAAGCAGTATTTTTAGAGGTGACAATTTTTATATATTTTTTTTTTTACATGTTTTATTTTCTTACTTTGAAATATGTTCAATTTCAGGTTGTAAGTAAGGGAAATGATCAAGTAGCTATGTCTTCAAAATATGAAACAAGAGAGGATGTGGGTAAGTGTTAAAGGCTCAAAGATAAATTAATGAAATTTTATTGATGCATGATCTTTATCAGTTTAAACTAATTGTAAATTTAAATCTTTGATGTTGCTTTATGAGTTATGGGGATATTTCAGCTGTGATTCGTAACTATGGTAACCTGTTGGTGGAGTTTTGTTCAGTGGTTCCTGATGGCATTGTTTGTTTCTTCACCAGTTATATCTACATGGTAATGTATTTTCTTTATTGTAATACTTGATCTCATTTAACGTGATTGCTTTACAAAAGGAACAATTACAGATGTATGAAACATACATGTATGAAGGAAATAAAATATAATGAATATAAAATATTATGAACATTTTTCTGTAAATGTTTTTTTTTTTTTTTAAATCAAATTGGTTTGTTAATTCAAGTTCTAAAATAACCTCATAGATTTTAATGATACATGTATAACCTGTCTAATTATCCTCTGGTAGTGTATTTTATCAATATTTGAGTAGATCAATGACTTTTTCACTTGTTGTATCTTTCAGGAGTCAACTGTGGCAGCATGGTATGAACAGGTGAGAGGTCTCTGTAGTTACATATGCTTATATTTCATTTGCTATCTGTCTGTTTGTGTCATAGAAAATAAAAAAGTTTTTCTTGTGTGTCCTGTTTTAGATTTTTTTTTTTTTACAGGTTCAAGTGCTTGTGTGCTTTTTTGTTTGGTTGGTTTTTTTTTTTTTTTCTCTCTCTCTTGAATTTTACAGCATACTAGGGAATGAATAAAAAAAATCAAAAGTAATGAATGTATTCAACAAAATATTTTTGAAAATACTTGAGTTTGTGCTTAAAATTAGGCTGAATATTTGTTTCTGAAACAACCAGCTTACATGCAGCTGAAAAATGGCAAAATACTACATGTATATATTTCATTTACCAAAAAGGTTTATGCAGATTACAAGTATATCCCTTGTATTTTTTCTTTCATTTTACTATAAACTCTTCCACATTAAAAACAAATCTGTAGACCATTGAAACAACTAATAGGAGTGATTAACATTTACATACATGTGCCTGTTGTTGTATATTTTCTTTGATCAATTGATTTTCAAAATGACTATTCTAATAGAAATTACATTTTTACAGCTTGTAAGTTTTTTTTCTCAGTATTATTGGAGATTTTTTACCCATTTTTGACTTGTTTGTATCATTAGAAAGAGGATGCCTATGAGCTGCATTAAGTAGGAATTTATACACACTGTCATGTTTTCTCAACCAGAAGTAGTACATCACAAAAACCAGAATTAAGATGCAAGATTTTAATTTATATATACATGTACATAAATCCCCTTTTCTTTATCACTATTTTTAATGATTAGTCAGAACAAAAACATATTTCCTGATATTCAGTCAATTAATAACCTATTTATTACCTATATTTTATGTCAGTACATTTTTCCCCATTCATATACATTGTAAATAGAATATCTCCGAATTTCTGGTCATAAACATTTTTACAACTTTAAGTTAAAAAAATATTTGGTGACATCAAATGTACATGTACTGTAAAATCATTTATTTTTGTGAGGGAAAATTTTTGTGGTTGGGCAAATTTTTTTTCTTTGTAGTGGTTTGTGGGGGGGGGGGGGGGGTGATTTCATGGTTGAAGAAATGTTGGATTGTTCTATATTTTCAATTTTACAATTCATGGAGGACATAAATTTGTTGGTCTCTTTTTACCACAAAAAAATGAAGCATTAATTAAACCCACACAAAAATTAGTGATTTCACAGTATGTGATGTCAGCAAGAATGGAGCGACAGGAAAATATTTTGTGACGTCACAACACAAAAGTAGTCCCCGGGTACATTTACAGTGCAGGTCCATGGCCCTGTAAGTGACGGGATTCAGATTTGACTCTATGTAGTTACACCTTCAAAAAATTCTATGCTTAAATAAAGTCTAACAATTACAATGATTTAATTGAATATAAAAAAAATTTGTTATTGGATTGGTCGTGAGATGTTGGGCACCTGAGAGGTTTTACATTTGTTAATCGATACCCAGCTTAAGTGGGATCATCTGGTACAAATCAATAAAGTTTAACTAATTTGGTGTTCACGGCTTTCATAATTATCCAAGTTAAATTTGCATTGCGGATAATACATGTAGATTTATAATTCAAATCAATTAATATGAACTTGAGATTTTGAAAAATCATTGGAATGTTACTCGGGAATTGTTCTCTCAAGCAAAACATGCAGGTACAGTAAAAAATGCTTATAGCGAACGGGCTTATGTTGAATTGACGCTTACATCAAAGTGATTTTCATTCCCCGTGACTGAAACATATTGTAAACTTACAGATATAACAAATTATGCTTATAATGAAGCAAAAGCGTCCATCCCTGGCTCTTTGTTATAAGTGTGTTTTACTGTACTAGCTGTGCTCATAAACAATTTTACCTCCACTAAAGGTTAAGTGAATTACCATATATCTAATGACAAAAAGAAGAAAGAACATTTTTCTTTTATTGCAGTTAAAACCTGACAAAGTATATATAGTCCATGCTTTCAGCAATAATTGGTCATTTCTTGATAATAAATACACAATGTAATATATACACAATGTTATATATACAGAATTCAAACCGTAACAACAAAATATTCAGGGTCCAAAACAACTGTATAACATTGTCTTTGTTCATTTTCACATCTTTATCATTAATCTCACAGTAATTGTATGTGTGGACAAATGCAGCGTCAGTAAAAGAAAACTTGAAATGAACACATATGGTACACATGTATAACAGTATTTGACAGCCATATCAACTCTGCAGTATTTAAGTACTTTTCTGGTCTAACGCTTTTCACATACAAGTATAGATGGTTCAATGCAAGAAAAAATTAAAATCATTCTAAACATGCACATGCAAAAATAACAGCACAAAAAGAAAACAAGACATTTTACAGATATTTTTATCACAGATAATTATTTTGCATTCACAATATGGAAAGACAGAAATCCAGTTACAAATTATCTCCCCTGAAAAATAATATCACAGATAAGTCCATCTGTCTGACCTCCCTGATTGAGTGAAAGACAAAATTTGGTTTCTGCAAAAGAAGCCAAAAAAAACTTGGGAGGGAAACTCAAAACCTGACTGGCCACAGCCAAAAATCTGACATCACAGCTAGCAGTGAAAATGTAAAATTATAAAACCTCAAGTTCATGCTGTTTGTTATATTTGGTTAAAAGTTCATGAATAAAATACATACACACAGGAAAAAAAAGAACCACTAACAAGTCCATGTAAATCTATCACAGGTAATGAGTTTTTTTGGGGGAATATTTAAAAAAAATCCATTTTACCACCAGTTTCAAAAAAGAAAAAAAAAGAAAAAGAAAAAAAAAGAACATTGTATAGTAATAAAAAATTTACAACACATTCAGGGGAGATTACTGTGACCAGCCCCAACTACATCACACACCGTTTGGAAAATTCTCTCCCCCAGACAGAATAGAGACTAGCTTCAATAAAATATTTTTGGATTTTTAATTTTTTTTTTTTGCCATTTTGTTATTTGAAAATGGATTAACACAATCATGCAAATATATATATATATAGTTAAAATACAATTTCTTGGAAATGTTGATAAATAAGGCATAAATAATTTACTGCATTGCACTGATCAATCAAAAAAAATCACACATGGAAAATATTGCACATTCTTGAATTTTCACAGGGATTCATCATAGTGTCACAGCTAGATTATAAATAGATTGATAGGGGAATGCCCTTGAAATTTTTGTGGATGGAATTCGGTATAAATATTTACATTGATTCAATATTTCATTTATTTGAGATTAACACAAAAATATTCCATCAGTCAAAACACTATCTCAAAAAATATAAATATCTACCAACACCCTATATAGCACAATAAAATGAAGCACTTTAAAAGATAACTACTATATACGTAAGGGGTTGTGGAAAAGTTACTCACCCATGGAATCGCCAGGGTTGGTGATAATTGTTGATAGTTGTTGTATAATATCGGCATTATTTAATGTTGGTTGCTTGGCAGTCCTGGCAAGTTGATGACAGATGTCCAAAAGTCTCTCTGTCATTTGTCGCTTCTGAACTTTTGGTTTTGTGTTGTTGCTTCGGTTTCGTTTGTTGGCAAACCACGATTTCACTTGTGTTATGGAAATTCCTCCCTCTTTAGCCATGATTTCTTTTTCAGATTTTGAAGGATACGGATTTTCCTCATGTGCCTCATACCATTCTGTCATGATGTGCACTGCCTTCAGATTTAAGGGTTGGTTGTGTCGTTGTCTTTTGCTTTCACGCTGCATCACTGCTTGAATTTCGGCATCAGTTATTTTACGTTTTGCAGCTTCACACTTTTTGATATTTGGTCTCTGGGGCTGCTGTGGCATCTTGTGACATAGAACAGCCTTTTGTTGGAGTTTTTGATCAGTTGGTGAAGAGAGAGAAGATGAAGTTATATCCATTGATTGTACTTCATCAGAATTCTGTATAGATATATCGTTCTGCCCTACCTTAGCAGGATCCCTGAGAAAATCAGCGAGGTTTGGCTTCGGCATGTAGGGTTTTGTTGTGTTGTATATTTCAATAAATTGGGACAGGTTCATTGATGATTCCTCTCCAGGATCTGCATTTTCTTTGTTTTCCTCATCAGAATTTTCACTTTTCACTTCCTCTTTTGGAGAATTCAGCTTTGAATCAAGTGGATACACAGGTGACATGCACAAATCAGAATTATAACCACTATCTTGCACACGATTGGCTACATGTAAATACATGGAATGGTTTCCATGCTCTGAAATTACAGACACATTAGGAGAAACATCAGCTTTTGGTGACTCATTGGACAATACTTGATTTGCCTCCGAGAGAAGTGGACTAATGCTTCTTGAAAATTTGGAATCCGATGGAATAGCTGCAAGCGCTGATATGAGATCAGGAGTAGAGCATCGTGCTATATCTGATGTTTGGACATTATTTGGAGCACTGTTCATTGAATGAGTATTTTGAGGCGTTAAGGAAATATCTGGGTACTTGATTGCTCGATCACTGTTGTAGTAATTTGATGTGTAGTACCACTGATGCATTTGCTGCCATTCTGCATACTGACTGTGATAAATGTTTGCATAGTCATGATATGGCACACTACTGTATTGATACAGCTCACTGACAGCCTTGTGACAAATTGCAGTATTACTGAAGTCAAAGGATTCAGATTTGACTGCTGTGTGAGGGTTATAACCATCAGAACATGAGGGAATGGGAGAGTATGGCCACACAACATTGGCACATCTGTAACTCTGAGACACAGTGTCAGGGTATACATTTGAGTCTTCAGAATAATTCTCACCTACTTCACTGGTGTTTTCAGACTGTGAACTATCTGTGGAAGAAATTGTTCCATTGTTTTGTGGATCCATGCTTCATGCAGTGTTTTCCCTCCCTCAGTCACTCAGGCAGGAAATCTATACTGTGACAAAAGGAACTGGTTTAAACTTAACCCTCTGCTATTGAATGAGAGTTTAAAAGCCTTATTTGGTAGATATATATAGTGGGGAGGTTAAAGGTTAAAGTTCTCAATGTCAGTGTTCTTCATTGGCTCTGGCATAACTCATTTGCATGTCAAGGTTACCTGTCATGTGCAGTAGAGTGAAAGGAAGTGAATTTCTGGAAATCTGATTGGATGACATTGAGCACTGACAGTTCATGCTTGACCTCCAAAGGAATGTTGCTATTGTAAATACAAAAATATTTTACAATGTAAAAAAAAAAAAAAAATCAACAGTAAAAATGACTTCATTGATTAATATTTAAAGCAAAGATTTTGTATTTTAAAGTTGTAATCAACTTAATGAAGATAAAATATATTTATATATTTTTTTTACCTTTAAAAAGAAATCATTAGGATTAATTATTTATATTTTTTTAATGAATGAATATGAAATATGATAATTAATATTTCTAAAAAGTATTCATTCTAGGTGTTAAAAAATAGAACTTAAAATGGTAGCATTTGTAAAAATGAATTTATATAAAATCTCAAAAGTGTAGGTAAATCTGTGAGGCTGTTGATTTTATGAGATTAATTGATGTTTTTATATTATGAATAATTAGCACCACATTGATTGCAATGTCAGGGTTATAATTAATAATTGCTATATTTGAACTTAATTAAATTTGCTTTTTAACAATCTAAGACCAATTAATTTATTAACACTTTGATAATTACACTGTATGTTTTTATAATTCCTATAGAAGAAGTGACAAGATGAATATGCACATGTGTATTAAATTTTTTAATTAATGAATGGATACAAGTAATAGATAATTGTTTAATCCTATACTTTCTTTTCTTTCAGGGTATCATTGATCAAGTACAAAAACATAAGCTACTATTCATAGAAACACAAGATGCTGCGGAAACTTCTCTTGCTCTGCTTAATTATCAAAAGGTGTGTATATAGGAAGGAAAGATTTACCTGTAACTTAGGATAATTGTAATCATTGATGATATTCTGAAAATGTAATGCAATGTGTAGTTTATTTAATGCTTTTGATTAGGAAACATGCTCACTATTAAATGCCATTGACATAATAATTGTGTACAGATTATTTACAATAGGCATGTGAGAATGGAAGAGGTGCTGTCTTGTTATCTGTGGCCAGAGGAAAAGTATCAGAGGGAATAGATTTTGGTAAATATGTATTCTTTACTTTACTTTGAAGAACTTTAAGAAGAAATTTGATAATTTCTTTAAGATAATATTTTCTATGAGGTGTAGACTGCATGAAAATGCATCACTTTTAGGTCATTTTTTCAATGTGTAATTTTAAATGATGAGGTTGGAAAACTTAAATTTTAATCAAATACAAGTGAGGCATGTTAGCTTAGTAGGATTCTTAAAATATATGCAAAAATCAGATTACTTGTGAATTTTTAGGCTATTCATTTATTTCTAACACAAACGAACATAATGATCTTTTAATATTTTGCCAGGTTGAATCATCAAGATTAACTTCATTTATACTAGCTGTTTAATAATGTATCTCCAAAGAAAATATTTTGAAGAAGGTTGATGTATGAAAATTGCTTAACAGACAATGCAAAGTTGCATATATCAAACAATTGTTAAACAATATAGTATGTGCATTTTATTGCATACACTGTATATCACTGAAGGAGTGAAATGCAATAGACTGTATCCACTTATAAAAACACAGCTGAATATAATGAATCCCCCACCACCATAAAACTGTTATCAATTCCCCAAACTTTACAAAGATAACTGTATGTGGAGAGATGCCGAGAGTGTAATAAGGGAGCTAACTCTTACTCCCTCCACAGTCAGTTTCCACACATCTTGGTCTTCATGATTTTACATTTCTTTTTGTTTGATTTTATTACAGACCATCATTTTGGGAGAGCTGTCATTATGTTTGGAGTTCCATACGTTTATACACAGAGTAAAATTTTAAAGGTATTCCAGTCTTGAATGGTTTTTCTCTTCATGTGGAAGCCAATTAGACATTGAATTCTTGTTTTTGAGCACCTGGCCGTGCCAACAAATTGAATATTGTGCATGAGAGTGGTAAGATAATCAGGTGCTGTTATAAGAGTTCAATGCTTATATTTACATTTTCTAATTTTCTCTCTTCAGAAATGTTAATTTTGTTCATCTTTATTATATAAATAGTGCACGTTTTTGAGGGTAACAGTTGAAATTGACACCCCAAGAAAAACCATTGTCAACTGACGTGTCAGCGGAGGTTGACAATGGTTTTCCGAGGGGTGTCAATTTCAACTGTTACCCTCAAAAACGTGCACTATTTATTTTATTATACTGAATGTCTTATTGATTTCGGATGTCATAAAAAAATTCGGAGATCGTCGTTAAGTTCATGCTTAGAAAGCTTTCAAACTCCCCGCTTCTATTTTTCTCGATAAGAAAGCTTCGGAAAAGATTTACCAACCTCTTTATTGTTTGTTTGCTACTCAAAAAGTCCTTTATCATCTAAAGTTTGCACTCGCAAGGATGTTTCGTCTGTCGTTTGTTGTTTTCAAGTATGCTACATCGGACGCAAGCTTTTATTGACGTCGTTTATTCGGCTTCTTTCAAACGCACAACTGATGTTTTGAGAATTCTACGGTGAACCGTACGCGCATGATTTGAACGCATGTGACATTTTCATAATGTTACCCGTTGTCAAGTGTGTTGCTAATGCTGAGGGTATTATTATGGATTGTTAACTGCGTCTAAACCAATCAGATTTTAGTATTTAACATGAAAGTATAATAATATATATTAAGCACCTTTCAGAACTGGTATGGTAGACGCAAGAGTTGTTATGAGTACAATGTTATTTTATAGTTTTAGTAGAATATTGGAATAACGTTATATGTTTCAATATAAAATATGTGTGAGTACAGCTTTATGTCAAAACAAGTTCTTGTAATATATTTTCATTAATTTCTTATCATTAATAGCATTTAAGGAGTATATAAAGTCAATGTCCATTGAATTGTGCCAGGGTTTATACTAGCTTGCTTGTTTTAGGATAATTGGCTATTTAAGGTACCATTTGGATGTATATCACAATTTCTCTTCTTAGACTCGGTTAGAGTAATTACAAAGCCAATATTATGATTTCTCTTTCTAAGCTTGGTTATAGTACCTATGTGACCAATATCATAATTTCTCTTCCATGGTTAATTAGAGTGCCTACATAACCAATATCCTGATTTCTCTTTCTTGTCTCGATTAGAGTACAAATGTGACCAATATTATAATTTCTTTCAAGGCTCAATTAAAGTACCTATGTAACCAATATCCTGATTTCTCTTGCTATAGGCTCAGTTAGGGTGCCTATGTAACCAATATCATAATTTCTCTTGCTATAGGCTCAGTTTGGGTGCCTATGTAACCAATATCATAATTTCTCTTGCTATAGGCTCAGTTAGGGTGCCTATGTAACCAATATCCTGATTTCTCTTGCTATAGGCTCAGTTAGGGTGCCTATGTAACCAATATCATAATTTCTCTTGCTATAGGCTCAGAAAAGTCACGTGACATCTAAGGGTATGGCGGCTTAATTTGAGCTCCAGAGTTTTTGGTCAATTTAGGGCATTTTTAGAAGGATTTAATATTCGTACCTTGGTTTATTGTGTCCTTTTGTGCCTGGAGAGTGTTATTTGTGATATTTGTGCATATTTCTGCATTTACAATGCCGTCAGACACGAGAAGGAAAACCGGGGCAAGTTCTAAAAAACAGACTGAGGAGTGTTCACAGAAGAATCCAGGTAACACAAAGTCGCCTAGTTCTCCCAGTAAAAAAAGTGAGAGCGAACCGATAGAAGAAACAACCGTTAATCGGTCTATTGTTGACAGCTCTCAGTCTCGCTCTATTGATGACATTAAAACAACTGTTGAAGCTATAAGAAATGATCTATGGGAGGGTGATCAGAGCGTAATTTCAAAATTAAAATACGTTGCAGAACAAAGCAAGAGCAATTATGATGACATATCTTTGCTACGTCAAGAAAACACTCAACTGCGGAGAGAACTGGAATTACTACGGTCAGTTGTAATTCGAATGGACAGAAAAATGTCTCTTATGGAACACGAGGTTACGGATCTTAGGTCAAGGTCTATGCGAGACAATATCCTTATTCACAATTATCCTTACGAACCCAATGAGGACCTACCCACATCAATGCCAGTAACTTTTAAAGAACTTCTAGGGGTGGATGTTAGTTTTGTAAGGATTCATAGGAATGGGGCACGCCCACAATACAATTCTGACCGACCTGTATCCATTACTGCAAAGTTGACCGACCGTAGTAAAATTAACACAATTCTTAATGCCCAAAAGCTAAAGAAAATTGCCAAACAACCATTACCCTTCTTTATTACTACACAACAACCTGCATCCATTGTATCCGCTCGAAACAGGGTTTATGATACAGCAGAGTCTTTGCGCAGCCAAAACATCACTGTTAAGATTCAAAAGAATCAGATCATCTTGCCCAATGGCTCCAGTTATAAAGATGACATACCATTTCTATCAAATGCGGACGCCTTATTGGTAACGCCTGAAGAGACAGAACATCTAGACTCAGTTGAGACAAAAAACTCGGACCCCATCAAAAAGGACGGCTCGGAATTTATGGCTTTCGGTGCTCGAGTTAAGACTGTGGAGGATGTCAAGAATATGTACAGCAAGGTTTTAATAGATCCATATGCAGCAAGTGCAGATAATCGCATCTTAGTTTATAGATTTTCTACAGTAGATGGTACCGTGCACGAAAATTATCATGATGATTGTGAACATGGGACAGGGCGCAGACTTTTGCGATACATGAGAGAAAATCAAATTCACAACACAGCTTTCGTCATTACAAGATGGATGGGCTCAATTAAAGTACCTATGTAACCAATATCCTGATTTCTCTTGCTATAGGCTCAGTTAGGGTGCCTATGTAACCAATATCATAATTTCTCTTGCTATAGGCTCAGTTAGGGTGCCTATGTAACCAATATCATAATTTCTCTTGCTATAGGCTCAGTTAGGGTGCCTATGTAACCAATATCCTGATTTCTCTTGCTATAGGCTCAGTTAGGGTGCCTATGTAACCAATATCATAATTTCTCTTGCTATAGGCTCAGTTAGGGTGCCTGTGTAACCAATATCCTGATTTCTCTCTCTAGGCTTGGTGAGAATACCTACATGTACAAGTTCAGTATTATGATTTCTCTGTAGGCTTGATTAAAAATACCTTCATGACCAATATAGTGATCTCTTTATGGCTCCTTTAGAGTACCTGCATGACCAACATCATAATTTGCCTTTCTAGGCTCGATTAGAGTACCTACGTGACCAATATCAGATCAGAGAGAATGACTTCCTGACTTTTGATGCCATGCGACATGCAGCACAGTGTGTAGGCAGGGCCCTGAGAGGAAAGACAGACTATGGTATCATGGTGTTTGCAGATAAAGTATGTTTTTCTGAATTCTTAAATTATTTAATATTATGAAACAAGAATCATTTTTTTGTGGAAAATGACATTATGGAAAAATCTTTGAATAATGCTGTAATGTCAGAATTCCCTATGAAATTCAATGGCTTCCAATAAAGCACTTGAAAACTATTAGAATTGATTTTCAAGACTTACGTAGTGAAATAATACCAAAATATAACATATTGTTTCCTGCATAAAAAAAAATTCTGTATACCAAGTACATCCAATCATTGTTATGAATTCCTGTAAAATATAACAGAGATTTGCTCGAGCAGACAAGAGGAGTAAGATTCCTCGATGGATACAGGAGCACCTGAAGGATGGATTGTGTAACCTGTCTACAGATGAGGCCGTCCAGGTCGCCAAGCGATTCCTCAGGCAGATGGCTCAGCCTTTCTCCAGGGTAGGTACATGTATATCAAACGATTCCTCAAACAGATGGTTCAGCCTTTCTCCAGGGTAGGTACATTTATATCAAACGATTCCTCAAACAGATGGTTCAGCCTTTCTCCAAGGTAGGTACATGTATATGAAACAATTCCTCAAACAGATGGTTCAGCCTTTCTCCAGGGTAGGTACATGTACATCAAACAATTTCTCAGTCAGATGGCTCAGTCTTTCTTTGGAGTACATACACATGTATATCAAACATGCAACAAGATAAAAAATGTAATACGCATTTTAATTAAGCCAAATTTGAGTATTTTTAATAATATTCATGAGTATTTTTGACAGGAGGACCAATTAGGACTATCTTTATTGACTGTGGAACAAATTGACCAAGAGGACACAAAGAAAAAACTCCAGTCCAGGATGCAGTATGTTTGATAGAGAGTAGTTTATGTCTGTTTAATGGATCACATCAACTCTTAATGGAACTGTGCTACAAGTCTAATAGTACCAAGTTATTATTCTGTGAAAGTCTTGATTGTTTTGTATGCTATTTATATGTAGAGTATCATGAATAAAACTGCATACATTGTTTGCCTGCAAAAGAAAGAATTATTTAGTGATCTTATGGAGTGAAAAATAATGTATGTCAGAGTCATTTAAGGTTCATCGATACTCTGATAAGAGAGATAACCCTAACTGGTATAAATTACTATTGTTCCTTTATGAAATTGTCAAGTTTACAAGCCATTTCTGTCAAATTTTGCCCTGCAAGGTTTGCTGAGATTATGTGTAATTTTATTATAAATTAGAGTTTTCCTTTTGAAAATCATCAGCGTTAAGGAATAATTTTATAAGAGTGAGCAGAGGGATGATGGACCTTAATTGTATTGGACAAAGCTCTTCCTTGGCTGGAAGTGGAGTCCTTCCAGTAATGATTATCAGAGTAATCTCTTGTTAATTCCTTGTCTCTAGAGCATGTATAGTTTCTCTGTGGTGTTGCCAAGCCTGGAACATAATTTTGCTCTTCTCAGCTTTTAGTTTTACCGTACTTACAATTTTAATAAAAATAGTCACTAGTGTAAGGTGTCATGCTGCTTTAGGAAAAGAATATATCAAAGGTAACTGTCAAATAAAGATCTTCCAGATCACAGGGGACTTCAATCAAGGGTTTTTCTTATCACAAAAAAATTTACCCATATCTAAAGTTTGACTAATTATTGGACTCAGTTCCATGTATTAAAGTTATTTAAACAATGAAATACATGCACTTTCTTTCTGTATTAATAATGGGATTGTGACATTGCAGAAAAAAATGTAACAGGCGTATTAAGCAAATTTTGAAAAAAAAGCTGCAGTGGTCCAACTGTTCATACCTGTATTAAAAAAACACTCTTTTGGTCACCAGAATCTGTTTTCTGTTGCCGTGCGTCAGTCATAAACTTTTGAACATATTCACTTCTCTTGAACCATTGAATCGGTTTCAACTAAATCTGGTTCTGTCAATCACTTTTAATTCACAATACCTTAATATTCTTTCTACGCACCATGAAATCAGGAATATTTATTCTTGCTAAAATTAAATACTGATTTTTAGGGACAAATCTCTAAATTTGCATCTCACTAAAATTTCCACTTATACAGTATATTTCCTGAGATGGTTTGCTTGCAAAAATTTTATTCTCGCGCATACTAGTATATTAATTTGTAAAGTTATAATAGAAAACATTTACCAGGGTTCATGAAAAATTGTCTTATAAATATCAAAGACCTATTTCACAAAAACCAGGTGTTGTGAAAATTTAGTGATTTGTAGTATATGGAATCTACAGGTAAAGGGAAACAAAAATTGTGAACTTCATGGTCCCTGCCCCCAGAGGCCTGAGGGGTGGGGCCAAACCCATCAAAATTAATGCTATCTTCAAAAGTCTTCTTTATTTCTGGATGTCAAGCTGTCAAATTGTTGGCCCGATTATAGCAAGCAACAAGCCCTTGACTAAAATTGTGAAGATCATGGCCTCAGGGTCAAGGATTCTGGTGTTAGGTTGGAGCACTATAGATCATATACTAATAATAAAAATGCAGAAATTCTTCGAAAATCTCCTTCTCTCCACCTGTTTAGCTCACAACTACGGAAGCCGGTTGGTGCCAGGTGGAAAAAATATTTTATCTGGCGGCCGCCACATAAATAACTGGCGGCCGCCAGAAACTTATCTGGCGGCCACCAAATAATTTTCTGGCGGCCGCCAGATAAAAAGATCTGGCGGCCGCCAGATAACTTATCTGGCGGCCGCCATAAAGTTTTTTGGCGGCCGCCAGAAATTACGTGGCGGCCGCCAGATAACTTTCTGGTGGCCGCCAAATATTTATCTGGCGGCCGCCAGAAAGTTATCTGGCGGCCGCCACATAATTATTTGGCGTCCGCCAGATCTTTTTATCTGGCGGCCGCCAGAAAATTATATGGCGGCCGCCAGATAAGTTTCTGGCGGCCGCCAGATAGGTTTCTGGCGGCCGCCAGTTATTTATCTGGCGGCCGCCAGAAACTTATCTGGCGGCCGCCAGATAAAATATTTTTTTTACCTGGCACCTACCGGCTTCCGTACACAACTATCTAACTAGCTCATTATTTAGCTGAGTAAAGAAAGAGCCTTGGTAGAACATTTACTGGAACCTGCTATGTATCTTTGTTTGTAAGGATTTTACGGAGTTTTGAAATCCAGTATAGGTATGGTAATTCAAATTCATTTTGAATGTTGGGATTATTAATAATATTTAAAACTGACATCATGGTTTTGAAGAATTTACTCCTTAGAAAGGGAGCTATGGGTATAAACTGGATTACCATTGCAAAATTAAATCTTAGTTCCTCTAAATACATTTAAAAATACAGTCAAATAATGAACCTCACAAAGAAAGACAATGTTGCTCTTGCTTTGTCCGCTGGGACCAGTACATACTGATAGTGTAACTTAATTCTTGTTTCTTTTTTTCATTGTGGAAGACAGAAGCATTGATGGTTTTCATATTGCCCCTCAATCGTTTAATGCGAGATTTCAACATCCATCTGATACATTTAATCCATTCTGTCAAAGTGTCGAGGTCTCCTTTTTCATATTTGGCCCATCGTCTGGCGTAATCTTCCACAGAATTCATAATATTTATGAAATTATGACCCCAGTTGAAAGATCCTAAATTTTGGCCCTTTTATAATAACTTACGCATTATTAACTATATTATTAACGTCAACAGTAATAACGTGTCCAGCAGGACTATAGTTGTAGAGTGAAGGAAAATATGAACACGTTGGAGGATTATGTATCAGATGTTCAATATATAGGCACATTTGAGTTGTTTTTTTTTCGTTATAATAAAGTTTGGAAGCAATTGTCGATGTGGACTTGAACTTGAAATATGGTGGAATACAAGACTGGACCCTTTATTGATAAAAAATATTCCTTATAATAACTGTGTCAATTCCTTTGTTGGCATGTTTTAAGGAACAAACGAGTTGTTTTAGCAGTATTTTCCTTCGTGAAGCGTGGCGGTTAAAAGAGGCTTTGGTTTGCAAGATCCGAGCCTGTATTCTGGTGTCAAAGAATCCAAATATGGACTTTCCTTGACTTTTACAAATAAACTACTAGTATTTAACACTTTCAAAGGGACAGAGTAAAGTTTGTTGCGAATGTGATGAAGGTCTAACTGTTTACGTAAGGTAGCAGTGAATCAAAGGAGACATAATAAGACATGCGCAAAATTTTTAAAACCTTTAATTTTATTCAAAATTACTAAAAGCTAGTTCTTTCCATCTATACAGTTTAAAGTTCTTTTTCTTCGAAGGCCTTCAGATACATCGTTTATTACACGACTCTCTAAAAACTTTTTCCTCTTCCCATCTGGTACAAATCTACTACCTAATAGTGTATTCTCGTACCGACGCATGAGATATAAACAAGACTGTACAGGTGCAGCCAGGGTATGATTTCAAGAGATGTATTCACATTGCAGTTTAAAAATCCGACACATACGGACAGGTATGTTGCATGCTCTGCTTTTGCGGGGAGTTCCAGATACGGATTCCATCAAGGAAGATATAACTCTAGTACGCTGGGATCCTTAATTGTGTACGCGAGGAAGCTGATAGCGCCTGATGCCTCGAGACGATATGATAGGCACCAGGATTAACTAACTACTATTTAACTATAACTATACCAATGTACGAAGAAGTCTCATGGACGGATCTTGAAGTTTTAAACATTGTAAACATTCATTAAATCGACAGCAAAGGAACTCCTCTTCATCACCTTCCTCATTACTTCCTATTAAAAGAAATGCAATTACAACATCCCCACTCTCAAAATCGTAATAACAAATCGCAGAACCACTGTCACCTCTTTGAATTTTGTTTTCTTTATGGCCGTCTAAGTAACGAATGGTATCACTCCTTCTGAACCGGGAGCCAGTTGTGAAAGGCTTCAGAGGGGGCTTCATTGCAGACGCCCCTGCAAAAGATTCATTTTCTGAATCTGACGACCCACTCTCAACCGATTCATATGTTTCTCCCTCGTAGACGACAAAGACTGGATATTGCTCGGAAGTTTTGTACAAATACAACTTTTTGTCACGTAAGCTTTGGTAATTGCCACTGAAAATCCGTACGTTTGGCGTTTTCCCAAGCGGATGATACATACTTTGGGACAATGTTACATTTGATTTGGAGGAGACTTTAATCGCCGCAAAATCCAGAAAAGCTCCCGTGATATCATCGGATGATTCTATGCTATAGCGCCTTTGGGATTTCCCTATGAACTCTTTGTTTGTGGTATAAACTCTTTCTTCCGGAGGTGCAACATGAGAGCAAGTAAAGATGAATTTTCTTTGCTTGGAACCTTCACCGAAGACACACCCGATTCCTCTTCCCAGATCACCCTGAATGTTCTTTTTAATGCATATAGTGCACCCAGATTCTAGTTTTGTCATTAGTGTTGTACCTTTACGAAATTGGACAATTCTGAGATTTCCCTTGAATTCTTGCCACATTTCTCTCATCAGATTTTTGACATGGTCTTCGAGGAATTGTCTCTTCTCTTTATTCGAGTAATCTTTACTGGTCACTTTGAGCGTTAGTGCTCGAGGCGTTATTTTCAAGGAACGGATTTCTTTGTATCTGATAATAAAGCATGTACACTTAAATGAATTCTGATTTAAAAATCAGTCATTTGGTTGAAATTCATCAGAAAGCGAAAGAGACATGATGCATCTTTAGGTCATCTGAGTCACTCAGGTGACTTATTGCTATCCGTTAACATTTGAACATTTTCAACTTCTTTTCTGGGACCGCTAAATCAATTTCAACTTCTTCTCTGGAAAAGCAATTTCAACCAATTTTGGCATATAGCATCTATGGATATAGGGGAGCAAAAATTGTGAAATTAATGCCCCCCCCCCCCTTCCCGGATCCTGAAGGGTTAGGCTAAAACCACCAAAATTAATGCAATTTTTAAAAAATCTTGTTTACTCCTGGACATCAAGCAGTCAAATTGTTGGCATAATTATATTAAGCATTGAGCCCTCTACCAAAATTTTGAAATTCATGGC